GGTTAGCCTGTTCTTGTGGTTTTGTGAGGTAATTGGGTCTTGTTTGACATACCCGCTGCTCAATTTGAACTGATGTAAAGCAAATGACGACACCCGTCAGAGGGTAGTCTTTGTCTGTATGGTCCATTAGCAACGCAAGTCCGATTTTGTGGGTGCAGGTACTCCACGTACTCAGAGCTGCCATGTCTGCCATTCTTCATGATCGCAGAGGTCAGTCTACGTCAGAAATGGCGTTTTTCTCGAGATGCTCCCGCGACTGTTTGTTGGTATCGTTGGCTTCTGCATGCTCGTCCCACGCGTTTTGCGGCGATATGCGATCACGTGATGCCGTGGTTCTCCTCGCATATGCCTGGGTCAAGTGTGAATATGTTATGCACTTCAAGTAATTGCTTCCAGTGGGTTAAATATCGTATTTAATTGTATTTTTATGTTGAATAATGCAAATTTATTGTGGTGTCGAAAAATGTGTTATGTTTGGACCATGGCCTGAACTATATAAGTTATATTTTGTGTTAACGTTACCCATCCGCCGGCTGCCCTTTTAGTCAGCTATTAGTCACCCGCCGTCTTACACGGCGGGCCGAGTAGCTTCACTCCCCTGACAGCTAACGATAAGTTAGCGAATTTAACGTAGTGTAGTTACATAAGCCTCGCTTGGCGAACCTGCCAAGCCCCAGGGATCACAGGGATCTTTGTATCTAACCCAATCCAGTCTAGGCTTCTGCATCGTGTGCCCCACTCTCGTGCGCATCTTACGGTCCTATTTGCAATCTTCCCCAGCACAGACACTTGTGGGTCATAGTGCTCTATCACGACATGTCAGTGAAACGCCCCAGACTCGTGTCTCCGGTACGGTACAATTGCCTACCTATCCCAGAAACCGACATCGATACCTCCTTCCCCCATCAACAGATTTTATCTCCCAGGCTTATATCAAGTAAGATGAATTTCGCTTTTCTGTCATGCTGTTTTGAACTTGAGTCGCTAATGCGCAACAGGAACGGATTCGCAAGTGTGGGGACTCCCCGAGTCAGCAGAAATACGCGCTGTTCACGCTCTCGAGACTACACCAGAGAATGAACGGCTGGTTCGGACTCATCATCCTGCTTTGCGACAACATGATCCAGTTTACGTATCTCATTCCCAGTACGGCCCTGAGGTCTGGCTTGTGATGGGCGGGTGTGAAGACATTAAAGCGGGAGGGCGACCATTGCACCCTTATCTTGAGGACAGGTTGGACCTTCACCCCTTTGGGCAAGTTTTGACTCCACGTTCACCATGGAGGGAGGAATACCTTTTCAAAGAAGGTATCAACCCAAGAAAGCTCCTGGCCCCCGAGAAGATTGATAGCTTGCGCGAGCTTTTCCCCGCGGCAGTAGGGGCCCGTATATCCGTCAGTGGATTCCTAGTCGTCCTTTTTAAATCGTTACACGACATTCAAGCCGTGTATGAGAGAGACTGGATCATGGAAGTGGGTGGTTTGCGAACAGTCTATGATGAATATAGGCTCGGAGTCAGCGCTGACACCGTCACATCCAGCATGAAAGTTTGCGAAAAACCCGAGAGTCTCCATGGTCAAGGCTGCTTGGGCCTGAGAATTCGGATGACCGATGGAAAAGAAGCCATAACGACTGTAACGCATGGCTTTGTGAGAAACCCTCACCGGTCTCGTATGACCATGATGTTTTCCGAGTGGATCTTGAGAGCCAAGAGCGCTCTTCTAGGCTTCCGCCGTCCACCACCTCAATCCGACACTTGCGCAATTGGAGTCGTACGGAGTTCAAACAAGAATTCTCCGATTGGGAAAGAGGTTTGGCTGGCAACGGAAAAGAAGAGGGTAAGTCTTTCCCTTTTTCCTGTGCTTACTGCTAAGGACTCTGACTTGTTTATCTAGATCGGTGTTATCTCCTATACATTCGACGATCCAAGCCCAGTTCTTCCGTTTCCCGCTGGCTATCGGCACGACCTTAGCCTCATCATGGACGATAACCTACCTCAACTTGTCAGCCCGCCTGGCTATCCCGCTGTGTCAGGATGGGCGTCATACTCCGCCGCGCTCGCTGGGTCCGATGTCTACGTAACCCGGATGAACACGGTCGTTGGGAAGTGGCTGCTACTCGAAGGAACTGTTGACCCTAATGCAATTAGAAACGCAACGGTCATAGGTACCCAGTACCTATGGGACCGCTCTGCGTATTCACAGACTGTGTCACTTTTATGGAAAACGAAAGAACCGTTCACTCCTGCAGATGGGTGGTCAGGATCCGTCCTATGCCTTGGACGGCCGACAGATGAGTCGAGCCAGGCGGTTGTCTTCCAGAATTTTCAAGTGCCCTGCACCACGCTCGTCGACCCCGAATCCGGTCGATCTCATGAAGCAATTGTCAAAGGGGGTTTTTTGCTCCCTGAATCGATACGGTCTTCCAAAATTGTCACAAGCAAGGACCAACACCGGGGGAGGGATTCCGACACATATCCGCGCCGCAGCAGAGAACACGCAGGTTCAGACCGTCAGGTGTTCTCAGCCTTTTAGGAAAGCTTCAATCTCGATGTTTCGCCCGGATAAGCCAAGTACTTATTAGCTTATTATGATTATGAATCCATTAGCTTATTATTTTTATGAATCCTTTACTTAAATTGTTGTTGAAGCTGAATGATATCTTGCATGAGCCCGGATCTAACCTTTGATCTTTTCTTTCTCCAGGTTCTCTCAATCCGCTCTACTCAGCCAAAGCATTCCAAGGTTGGATTTTCCTGTACTCCCCTGGACCATATATCTTGCATGAGCCCGGATCTAACCTTTGATCTTTCTTTCCTCCAGGCTCTCCTTCCGCTCTACTCAGCCAAAGCATTCCAAGGTTGGATTTTCCTGTACTCCCCTGGACCATATATCTTGCATGAGCCCGGATCTGACCTTTGATCCCTTCTCCCCACAGTTTTGACGACTCTACCACACCGATATCCAGCTTTCGTCATAAGTAAGAATCATTTTCCTTTCCCGTGGGCTTTCTTTCAGTGCATTGTCTATATATTACTAACCCTGATCCTCCTAGTCAGCTATTCAAATCTAAGACCTAGCCGTCCTACGAAGTGAGTATCGATTCCTTTTCCCGTGGGCTATCTTTTAGTGCATTCCCTATATATTGCTGTCCTAAATCCCCCTCTTTAGCTACTTAATTTAGATCCTAGCTATCCTTAGAACTAAGGATCTTTTTCTTCCCCCGTAGGCTTACTTTTAGTGCATTATCTATACGTTACTAACCCTAATTATCCTAGTCAACTATTTAAATCTAAGGCTTCCTTTCCGACTCCCCTTAGTCTTACCCTCTACTATATCTATCTAGCTATATTAGTATAGATCCCCTAGAGAAACGTAAGCATAGCAGAGCTAGTTCTACTAAAGGTGGCTCTAATATACCGGTGGGACCTAAAGATTCCTTTCTAATTAGGCTTCCTTTTACTAATTATATAAGTAGGGTAACAAAAGACCGGCAAAAAAGAAGGACATAACACCTCGTAAGTCTAGTTTCCGTGCTATAAAGTGCCCTTAAGGCAGCCCTATCAATGTCTTCGATTAGGAAGCGCTAATCCTTAACCTTTAAGGTGCGGAGGGTCCTCTCGCGGTATATATCGGATTTAATAACGTTAGCGACTTACGGTTCCTAGCCTATGTTACGGACCTACCAGGCACCAATCGATTATGGGGCCGCAACTTACTGATGGGCCACCGAGAGCCAACCGATCTATCTGTCATCAGATCACGTGCAGTACCTTATACCCTGGACACCCCAGGTATTCAAGGGAAAGAGAAACACAATCATGCTCAGTGAGCGCTCAGTGAGCAAAGGCATGATTGACCCTGAGCGGACCCACCCGGCAGACTTTATCCTGTACATATGTGCCTATATGTGACGGACAGGATCTGCGTGCCAACAGGCCACTTTCGGCCTTCCCTTCGCCGTCTCATTGTATACCGCAATAACCAATGAGACGACCACCACGTGATCATGCAAGTAGTAGAAAGGTCAACCGTCGATGAGTAGATCTTGCCAAGCCAGATCTACCATTCTACTTTCTACTATTCTACTTAGGAAGAACTCAGGATATATAAGGACACTCATTCATGTATCTAGTTTAGTTCTTCGTGTTCAATCATACATTGTTACTTGTGTCTACTGTTCAGAACCTTCGGTGACTCTTTACTTGATTATAACTTGACAACACTACGAATAGACCCGTACTCCGGTATAGGTTAGTTCGGCGCTCTATCTGGCATCGCTCCTCGATATCCTCAAAAGGACTTAGCCCGTATAAGGCCTGTTAGGCGACGGTACAGTTGAGAGACAGATCGTTGACGTTGGAAGCAGAGAAGCATCAGGCAAGTATAACCCAGGAATCTTCTAACATAGCGACGACCCGTTAGTCGTGCGTAACAGCCTATTCTTACCGATTCTACTAATCTAGTAGATATAGTAGGCGGATGCCTACGGTGCTTATAAGAAGCATATTTTCTAGTATATTCATAAGTATATATCTAAACTTAAGGAATCGTTCGACCCGTAGAAGTGTTAGCCTAATAGATAGGAGGACGAAAGAACCTAGACTCTTAATCGTAAGATACGTATTGCTTAGTGTAACGGGCCAGGGCCCGTAGACATCACGTGCTGACCACGTGACCATATCTGTTTACACCGCCGCATGGCCGTGTAGAACGTCCTTTCCTTAAGCTTTTGATAGACAGCATGACGGCTTAGCTAGTTTGAATCAAGACTTGCTTCGACCCTTCACATATCAAAAGCTTCTCTCCACCCAACGAGACCGACGAACGAACGAGCGTGTGTCACTGAGAACCGCTATCAACGAACGAAAAAGAGCGTGTGCTACTGAGTCCGCTAAAGCGATCAACGAGCGAAACCATAGCGTAACAGCAACGAGACGTAGACGAAACGATGGCGGGAGGCAGCGAATCATCAAGCCCCCCGAATTGGGCCCAGTCCCTAATGCAACAAATTGCCCAAAACCATGCAAGGCAAGAAAATGTGATTCAAGCACAAGAAAACGCGATTCAAGCACAAGACGAACGAATTGATAGACTGGAGGCCTTGCTACGGAGCACGATAAAGCCTAGCGAACCTACCCCTACTCTCCAGCGAATCACGAGTGAAACGATAGAACCTACGAAAAGGTCCGATCAACAAACTAGACTTGGAGGTTACCTTCCGAGGGCTCGCCTCCCCGACCCCGCACTGTTTGCTGGTATCACTACTGAATGGTCTGCCTGGCGAATTACAATGGAGAATAAGCTAAGCGTGGACGGTCTTGCTATCGGTAACGATCAGGACCAATTCGCGTATGTTTTCTCTCGCTTAGAGAAACTCGCGTGGAAGAACACCGGAACGTACGTGAAACTACGGCGAAACGACGGCACTGCGAAAGAGCTCTTAGACCACTTAGAGCAGATATACGGAGACCCGAACTCGCAAGCTAGAGCAGCGAGGCGCCTTCACCAGATACGGCAACGTGAAGACCAACCGTTCTCTAAGTTCCTTCCTCAATTAGAAAAGGAATTCGCAGACGCTGGCGCGCTCGAATGGCACGATGAAGCGAAGCGACAAATCCTGCTAGGATCCTTGAATCGAACCATGACCGATTCACTAATGAATCGCGGTATACCCGCCACTTTTATAGGACTGATCTCCCGCCTACACGAGATCAGTACCGATAGGGACGCCCTCGATATCAACCGACCCCAGAGAGGTAGATATAGTAGCGCAACGACATACGATCCTATGGATTGGACGCCCACTCGGACTACTACCGTGAGTAACGTCTATCAGCGGGCGAATCAACCACGAAACGCTAGCGAAGACCAACAACTAGCGGGAAAACGAGCAAAATGGGTCCCTCCGGACGAACTTGAATGCCGGCGGAGAGAAGGTCGATGTTTCCGTTGCGGAAGGGACGGATGTAGTATCCGTCAATGCCCCCTATTACCTGCGAAGCCACCACAACAAGCACTTCAACGCCCTCGTATCACCACAGCGGCGGTAGAGGAAAGCAACCAAAACGCTAGTGTTTCGACACTAAAGAAGAAAACAAGTTGGAGAAGCGAAAGACAACGAGCGGTCACTCTATCACACGACGAAGAGAGTTCGGAAAACGAGTAGCTCCTGTTGTTAGTCGCAAACAGGAGCGAAACGGAGTGAAAAAGCTATTTAAACAAGAGAAGCCTTTCAAAGTTGATGTACAATTAAACGGAATCCAATCAACGCAAGCACTGGTTGATAGTGGCTGTCTTTGCTACGCCACTATTAGTGATTCTCTCGTTAAAAGCTTCGACCTCCCGCGCATTCGTATACCTACTCGAACGTTAGACGGTGTAGTAGGGAACCAGGGACAAATCGAGTACGTGACGTACTTTGACGCCGACATCCATGGTCATAGACAAGGACGAGTCTATGCGTATGTCATCTACGGACAACTCGACGCAATGATTCTCGGGAACCCATGGCTAGTCGAGGTAAAGGGTGTCTACTCGCCAGCGAAAGGCTATCTCGACATTCGAGACAAGGAGGACAAAACGACCCGATGCTGGAATCGAGCGAACCCCTCGATCGCACCTCCGGGAATGAAACCTCTTCGAGTGACGAATATCTCAGCATCCCAGCTCTACCAGGTTATCGACAACGAAACGCAACCGGAACGCTTACGAATCGGCAAAGTAACACTAGCTGATATCGAGAAAGCCTTACGAACGAAAGACCTAGTCGACCCGAAGACGCGACTCCCTAAGCAGTACTGGCCTTGGTTAGACGTGTTTAGTCAACAGTTAGCGGACCAACTTCCTCCTCACCGAGTAGGAATCGACCATCGTATACCACTACGAAAAGACGCGTTAGGCAACGAAGTTCCCCCGCCCTATGGTCCCCTTTACGGCATGAATCGAGAAGAGTTACTAGTGTTACGAAAGACCTTAACAGAGCTACTCGATAAGAACTTTATTCGAGTTAGCAAGTCGCCTGCCGCTTCGCCAGTGTTACTCGTCCGAAAACCTAGTGGAGGAATACGTTTTTGTGTAGACTACCGAGGTCTTAACGAACTCACGATTAAAGACCGATACCCACTACCCTTGATCAAGGAGACCTTACGGAATATGGCTAGTGCTCGCTGGTTTACGAAACTTGATATTATCGCCGCATTCCATAAAATTCGTGTACAATCAGGCGAAGAATGGAAAACAGCGTTCCGAACACGATACGGCCTCTACGAGTGGAACGTAACACCCTTCGGTCTTACTGGCGCTCCCGCAACCTTCCAACGGTATATCAATCAAGTGCTACAAGAACATCTGGACGATTTCGTGTCCGCATACGTAGATGATATCATTATCTACTCTAGCGATTCGCTAGCGGACCACCAACGAAAAGTTAGCGAAGTGCTAGGAAAACTGCGGGATGCCGGACTTCAATGCGATATTACGAAGTCCGAATTCGAACGCGACTCTGTGAAATACCTTGGTTTCATTATCCGCGCTGGGCAGGGTGTCTGTGTTGATCCAAAGAAGGTTGACGCAATTCGATCATGGGAAGTGCCGAAATCAGTAAAAGACGTACGGAGTTTCATTGGATTCGCCAACTTTTACCGCTCGTTTATACCGCGTTTCGCAGACTATGCGAAACCTTTAATCGAGTTAACGCGAAAAGAAGCTTTATTCACGTGGAACGACGCTTGTCAACGGGCATTCATAGAATTGAAAGAAAAGTTTATCGATGCACCGATACTAGCTCATTTCGAAGAAGGTCGAGAAACAATTGTGGAAGCAGACGCGTCCGGCTGGGCTACTGGAGCAGTCCTATCCCAAGTCTCCGATGATAGCTCTTTACGACCTATCGCTTACCTATCTCAAAAGCTGAATCCGGCGGAATCGAACTACGAGATACACGATAAGGAACTACTAGCGATTATACGCGCACTTCGTGAATGGCGACCTGAACTTAAAATGGTCCCGAAATTCAAGATTCTCACAGATCATAAGAATCTTCGATATTTCGCAAAAGCGAGGCAACTAAATGAACGGCAAATGCGTTGGTCAGACCTACTCTCAGAGTTCGATTTCGACCTACAGTACCGTCCTGGGAAGCTAGCTTCCAGACCGGACGCCCTATCAAGACGGACCCAGGATGCTCCCCAGGGAAACGCCGACGAAAGGATATCGAATCGCTTCCGATGCATGTTCGAGAAGGTAAATGTGGATACGGGGCGGACCGTGGATACTCCCCAAGGGAACGCCGACGAAACGACGTCGAACCACCCGCGATCCATGCTCGAAAAGGTGAACGTGAATACTGAACGGGTCCAAGCAGACGACACCCCCTTGGACTTCGAGACCCCGGTCCCTCTATTCGAGGAGCCTACACTACAATCCCTATGGGAAACGAGCCGAAAGTCTGACCAAGTGTACCGCACGATCTCTCAAGCGCTAAAGGACGGAGGACGACGAATCGCACCCGAAATAGACGTTAAAATAAGCCTCGCCGAATGCCAGTTAAACGAACAAGGACTTCTTTGTTTCCGTGACCGTATCTGGATCCCAGAGAACGAACCCTTACGGACTGGAGTGATACAACGAGTCCATGACTCTCATATCACGGGACACCCAGGGCGAGACGCCACCTATTCGATACTGTCTCGCCGGTTTTTCTGGCCCGGTGCGGCGAAAGACGTACGAAGATTCCTCCGAAACTGTACAGTGTGTGGAAGAAGCACGATTTGGCGCGACACTAAGCAGGGTCTGCTTAAGCCACTACCGATACCTGATCGAATATGGGCCGAGATTTCAATGGACTTTATTACCGACCTACCACCCTCGGGACACGAAGAAGCTACAAATTGCCTAGTAGTCACGGATAGACTCACAAAGAGTGTTATCACAGTGGCTATGAAGTCGATCACGGCGGACGCCCTAGCGGACGTATTCCTAATGCATTTTTACATGCATCATGGACTACCGGTAGCTATCACGAGTGATCGAGGCTCACAATTCGTGAGCGGGTTTTGGCAACGCGTATGCGAAACGCTAGGGATTCAACGCCGATTATCCACAGCCTTTCACCCTCAATCAGACGGTTCTACAGAGCGAGCGAATCAAGAAGTCGAACGAATCCTACGAATATTCGCGTCTTACGCTCAAACAGACTGGAAAAGTCTTTTACCTATTGTCACGGGAGCGATAAACAACCGCGAAGCAGCGTCAACAGGACTATCACCCTTCTTCTTTACACACGGCTACCATATTGAACCGATCGGGTTGCTCAACCAAGGAAACGTACAAGAGGCAGCGAGTGGACCGGAAAACGCCGGCGAAAAGTTCGTAAATCGCCTACGGGACGCTACCGAATGGGCACAGGCGGCAATCGCAAACGCGCAAGAAAAACAACAGAATCAGTCGAACCGGACAAGGCAAGCCGCGCCAGTCTACCGTACGGGCGACAAAGTATGGTTAAACCTTCGGAACGTCCGTTCGCAGAGACTATCGAAGAAGCTCGACTGGTTACACGCGCGCTATACAGTGCTGGAAGCCCCTACACCACACACAGTAAAGCTCGACGTCCCGTCCGGTATACACCCAGTCTTCCATGTCGAACTCGTCAGGCCAGCCGCAACGGACCCCCTAAGCTCCCAATTGGTAGACGATTCCCAACCGCCACCTATACAAGTCGGTGACGAACTCGAATACCAGGTGGAAGAGGTTATAGCAGCACGGACAAAGAAGATCGGTAGAGGACGACGCCGTGAAGTTTTAGTGAAGTGGCTCGGATACGCAGAACTGACATGGGAACCCGTGGCTAACTTGCGAGACTGCTCCGCACTAGAAGCGTTTCAAGAGCGCTTCGGTGACGTCTCGACACATAACAGACCCGTTTTCGAGTCAACACGTGTTACCTCTCTCTTCGTAGACGACGGAGGGGACGAGGGGGTACTGTAACGGGCCAGGGCCCGTAGACATCACGTGCTGACCACGTGACCATATCTGTTTACACCGCCGCATGGCCGTGTAGAACGTCCTTTCCTTAAGCTTTTGATAGACAGCATGACGGCTTAGCTAGTTTGAATCAAGACTTGCTTCGACCCTTCACACTTAGGGTCTTATACACCTTAAGCTAGAACTTAAGGAATACGCTAAGATATCTACCGAGGATAACCGGGACGTGTGTGTTCTATAACGGGAAGCTATTAAACGTAAGTTCGATATCGAGTTTCCTACCGATACGCCCTTACTATACCCGGTTCTAGTGATAGGCCCCTTAGAGGGCGAAAGCGACATAGAACCCTATAGACGCTGTTAGGAACTACTAAAGTACTTTAGCTCCGTCTAAGGCTCGATATATGTAACGGAATCCTCAGAAGCCATGCACAGATCTCTCGCACTCCCAGAGGATCGACACCATATAGGTGTCGACACGTCAGCGTTGGCTCACCGTAACGCTGATCCCCCATGTTAAATAGTCTGCCCCGGAGAACCCAGCGGTTCTCCAAGAATCAGTCTCTGTATTCCTCCAATATATTGTTCGCTTCCAGGCATCTTCATCTTACCTAGTTGACAGGCTCTATCCTGTAAACACTAGAACCCTACTTCTTTACAATTCTGATTCTTCTTCTTCAACTACCTAAGATTGAAGATGCCTCCTAAAGCAACAATGACCACCCGATCGTCGGTCGCTCGTGGGTCGCCAGCGAACCCACACCGGACCGACGCCGAGTCTATGATTCCTCCTGCTACCGCCTACGACGAAAGTAGCAGTCTAGAGAATGATTCTCAGGACCGGGCTCCCCAACTTAGCGAGCACCTCGCTGAGGTCGAACGCCTCGAAACCCTTCACGCGTTGCTTACTCGAAAGAAAGAACTCGAGGAAGCGATCGGCCAAATGACGGAGCAATCGACGTCGGACCGCTATCGACGTTCTCCCTCTACGTCATCGGAAAGAGGACGAGCTTCCGGAGAGATCAAAATCGAGGTTCCAATTTTCAAAGCACATTATAGTATACAACAA